CCGGTCGGCATGATCAGAGTGACGTCATGACCCGACATTATCGCATTGATCGTCTGCAGCTGCAAACCACGAAAACTCTTAATCTTGAACACCGATTCCAGCTTGTTCATCATTTTTGTGGACCAAGAAAAGTCTGAGGAAGAATGTATTCATTCAAAAATTTTAGTTTCTTGCGATGAAAATCGAAAAAATTCTCGTCAAAATCAACAGTGTTCCCCAATCCGTGGTCCGCGAACCAGCGACAGGTCCGCGTAAGTTTTTTGTCGGTCCGCGGGAAATTTTCCGCGGCATAATAAATGCATCAAAATTAGCAATGAAGTCCGTTATCTTTCGCTAAAATTTTGGAAAGAGAATGGAAGTTGAAATTATCTGATGAAAAAACTAGTTGTCTTTTCTCCTAATAACTCTTCAGATAGATTTTCACTTGCGGAAATAGATTATTTTCATTCTGAGAAACCTTTATTCAAGCCCGCCTTTCTGATTTTTTTGAAAACATTCCACAATAACAGCAGCCTCATTGGTTCTTAATTTCTTCGAAAAAGCAGAAACTTTTCAAATGCCTGCCACAAAGTCTTCCCAGTAAAACTTCTTTCTGCCTGAAAGGATTTCATGACAATTTGCCGGTTCGCGGTCCCAAAAAGGTGAGGGAACTCTCTGGTACAGAATATTCGATTATAGAAGCGCATCTTCGTTTTCAAGCCAAGTTGGGTAAAAGTTGCGAATGATTCATAGGTAAAGATGAATTCCTGACAATCAGTTACTGTACTACATGTACCGCGGGAAAAGTTTCTGTAATGACTTCATTTCAGTGCAGAATACTGTAATGATCACTCACCTGTTCGTTGCCAGTCTTTCGAGGCTATTTTTTCTACTTTCAAGCGCTGGGCGGAAACTAACAACTTGTCCCTTTCATCCACATGCTTCTTTTTCTCCGACTGCAACTTCTGAATCTTTCGATCGATAGACGCGATCTCGTCCTCCAAAGATGAGATTTTCGCTTGGAACAGCGAAGCTTCTTCGTCCGTCGTCATTTTCTCATCAACTTTATCGTCACTTTATCTAGCCGATCAAGTAAAATTAAGCCGAATGCAGGAAGCAAAGCAACAATTCACAGCAAAAAAATAATGGGCCATTAATCATATACTATACGAATTTTTCTGCCATTATGTTGCATTTCGAAGCTTGTCACGTTTTTAGCCCATGTTCAAAGTGTGAGCACTACTCTATAGCTTTTCAAGGTCGGTGAAAGCGGGCTAGAATGAAGGAGCTGACAGTCCGTCCACAGCGCTCAATCCTCAACTTCACTGAAATGGACCCGTTATCGTCTTTTTGTATCTGATTCAGAAAATATAATTTAAACTCATTCACAGTAACCTGACCAACATAACCTGGACACGTTCTTAACTTTGAAAAAATGTAACAAAATTCAGGCGACACCTATGCCATAACGACGAAAACTCGGGACGGAGAAAACGGTCGGTAAAGCGAAAGGAACGGAATTAAAAGCTGCAGCGTCTTCATATCAAATCATTGACGGAATTCGCAGGCACAGTTTCAATATCGTCGTCATCTAATTCGAAATTTTCTTGAAGACCTTTAGGATGGTCAATAGCCGCAATTTTCCGAACGGGTTCATCTTCTTCGTCGTCTTCGTCGGCAAATTGAGACGGATCAATTCGGGCTACGATTTCATCTTCTTCGTCATCGGAAAATGTTCGGGATTTTTGGGTAGATGAAGTAGCAGTTTGCATTGGAATTGAAGCGTAGTTTTGAAGACCGGCTTTCTTTTCGTTCAAGATCAAGACGAAAGAACCGAGCATCGCGTCCACCGCTGATCTGTGATTGTTCGTGATGTCTTCCAACGTTTCATTCAGCTTTTTCGTTTCTGCGAGAGCGTAAATTACGAAGAATTTTGAAACTTTCAGAAATGAGATACAGTATCTTCATTACGATTTGAAAAAACCACGAGGTTCGTAGAGACGAGAAAGATGCTTTCCCCATTCCAGTCGCAAATTAGCGCATATTAATAAAGAAGTGGATAGAGGCGGGTTTTCGCGACGACGGATGAACATTTCTACGCGTTTGATTCAGCTTCTTTTACAAAGAAATACTTTTCTAAATTTAAAGAAGGCTCTACTACTTGAACTCAAAGAACTGTGAAAAAAGGGTACGTAGATAACATTGGATTTTAACCCTAGTTCGTGATATGCCTCAAAGAAGCGTCCATGTTATTTTTTTACTTTATGTACGACATAGCGATTAGCATATGATATAAGTCTCATTAGTATTTTTCACACTAGAACAAATTTTCTTGATGTGCTGAATAATTCCAAGGATTCAAAAGACACTTGAAAGTATTTTTCTGGACAAGACGCTTACAAATGTTTCGAGCATGTTGAAACTTGTCGTACTTCGAAATACTCCATCATGCTCCTCATTGAAAATTTGCTACATTAAAAATTTTTACTTGAATGTAACATATAACGCAAATTATAATCATAAAACAATGTTTTTTTTTTCAATTTGATCTCACCTTCTTGGGCCTCGCTTAAATCCCGGCGCAATTTAGAATTATCGACAACTTCCGACTGCAATCGATCAACGGTACGGAACAAACATTTCTGTAACAATGGTGTGACATTTCCACTTGGAACCTTGAAAAGAACCACGAGATCAACAAAATTTTTTCTTCTTCTTATTGATACGGGGGCTGGTTTGCTAGTTTTTTGTCGAAACTTGAAGTTAAGTCCAACGCAAATACCGAAGTCTCAAAATTAGAAATCCACAGGGGAATTAATTACAAGACTTGAGGCAAACCGCTCTTCATTTTCTAAAAATTAATTATCCTTCGTAAATTAACAAGCAATTGCCAAGATGGAACACCTTGGTAAGTTCCAGTCAACAGCACTGTCAGTCAGACTTTTTAAACTTCAATTTTAAACATTTCACGGCATTCAGCCCGTCTATAAAATGGAGAAATAATGCAGTAACTTAAACTAGACGATTTTTTCATGATGTTAAAATTATGATCCAACCGTCTTCACTCTCTATTTCAACGCGGATAAGGCAAGGAAAAGCGGTCAGGAATGATTCATATGAAACGCTCATTTATTTAGTTCGTCTGAACATAGTTTTTTTCCCTCCGTGTCCTCAGTGTTCTTTAAAGTTAGTTTGGGAAACTTATGGCATATGACATTTTGGATGGAAAAATTATACTTGAACTTGTACTGGAAACGCGGGGCCCCGAAGAATTGATCCTTCGCTGATGGAAAACTTTCCTTCCGTCTCATCCAGTTCAGCATCCAAAAGCTCGTTTTCCTCGAAAAATTTTCGCTGTTCGGATTTCCAGCCCACCTGAACAAATCCGTGAACTTTGATAAATCAACCATGTTCATCAATGAAATCTCACGCAAAAGATAATAATAATTAAAAATGCCAGACTTACGTATCGGCAGGTTTGGCAGCTCAATAACTTGTTGTGGTTCAGCAGGAGTCGTAATTTTAGTCGCTTGTTTTGACGGAGTGTGCTCAAAGGGGCCTCGAAGTGAAATGCTTGACTTTTAAGGTAGCTAGGACTCACTTGGATTCCGAAATCTTGGTCCATCACTCGATAAGATTGAGAATGCCAAATCAAAGCGGTAAACTACCATGAAAAGTTCAAAGATGCAAAAACTGTTATATTTACATAATTATCATATTACAGTACTATACTGCACCACATTTCAACTCTCGCTGATTTTCTTGTACAAAATTTCTAACTAAACTTGAGAATTACGACTGTCACGAAATTTTAAAGAGCGTTGCTAAAAATTTACGAAAGAAACTTCCAACTGAGCATTCAAAATGCATTTTATTGCAGTGTACGGTAATTATTCGTGTAACTAAAGCATCTAGCTTTTACCAACATGCTACCGAAGTTTTCTTCTAATTTTTCTTTCTTATGCACTCAAAATGCATGAAGGCAGTAATCCGTCCAAACCGTCGAGTTATTGAACAACACCAAGTCGTCCTCAGCATTAAAATCAGCGAACAAAACTGCCTCACACGAGTTTCCCCGGAGCTTCACTTTACGAACTGAAAATTCCATCGATCCTGAAACTTGGATTCCGAAATCTTGGTCCATCACTCGATAAGATTGAGAATGCCAAATCAAAGCGGTAAACTACCATGAAAAGTTCAAAGATGCAAAAACTGTTATATTTACATAATTCTCATATTACAGTAATATACTGCACCACATTTCAACTCTCGCTGATTTTCTTGTACAAAATTTCCAACTAAACTTGAGAATTACGACTGTCACGAAATTTTAAAGAGCGTTGCTAAAAATTTACGAAAGAAACTTCCAACTGAGCATTCGAAATGCATTTTATTGCAGTGTACGGTAATTATTCGTGTAACTAAAGCATCTAGCTTTTACCAACATGCTACCGAAGTTTTCTTCTAATTTTTCTTTCTTATGCACTCAAAATGCATGAAGGCAGTAATCACGTTACAGATACGTTGCTGTACTGTACTTCATTTCATGCACTGGTGAAGAAACCCTTTAATGGCGTCGGAAGATGCATAAAATGGCACTGCATATATTTTCCTAACAATCAAACTGATTTCTTTTTTCAAACCACCGAACACATCACTACAAATCACTTGGAAGCATCTCCGATGCACTTGTCCACGAAAGAATCAATTCGGTCTTCGTCCAGCAGTCCAACGAACTTCTCCTTCACCATGCCGTCAATCACACTTAATACCGATGGAACAGCGCTGACCTGAAACAATTAAGACTCCAAATTAATTTCGAAGATATGGGAAACGAGAGAAGAACATTATCACAATACAGTGCCAGCTGATTCGAGGATTTACAGTTGAATTTCGATGAATCGAACCTCCCTAAACCAAAAACCTTTCTCTGTCGAATTTTTTCCAAGTCGCTCTAAGAATTTCCTTGGAAAAAATGCATTAAAAATCTCCCTAATTCGAAGGCTTTCCTCTTTAAACCTCCATTACACAAATTTTCCGGAGACCTTTCGGCTATTATTTCATTGACGCACGGAAGTTGCAAGCAGTAAAAATGTAAGTCGATGTGTATTGAAATGAAGTGAAAGACTATACAGTACTTGGGAAAATAAACCTTTGCTTCCAAGTTCAGCATCCTGTCAACTCATGTACGAATTAATTTAAGGCCTAGCACCAATTACAATTTCCTGTAATTCTTTTGTTATTCGCCCAACACATATGCTCGTTTCCAAAACTTAAAAAACCTCCCCACCTCCACTCTTCCATGAGGTTCGACTGCACAAGGAACCTCCTACATTTCACTCATTTTATCAACCCTGACATTCGGGTATTGCTGATGTAATTACACTGCAGTTCGGTAAAAATCGGAAGAAAGCTGAACTCACTCCATATTCCATGGCAATTTCGGCATTGTCATCAATATTGACCTTCGCCAAATGAATCTTGTCACCTTTCGACGAAACAACACGTTCGATCCGCGGAGCCAACATTTTACACGGACCGCACCAACTGAAATTCGAAAGATTTCACGATTCGCTTCAATGAAAAAGAAGTATTGCGACATAGGTATGCAAGAAATCATGGGAAAAAATTCACGCATTAGGAAAATCGTACAAAAATAAAATATTGCCGAAAAAAAATAAACCCGTCGACTTACTCAGCATAGAAGTCAACTATGACCGGCTTCGGACTCTGGATCACCTTCTTCTCGAAATCATCAGAATCCTGTACTGTAAAGATTTCTCGAGCACAAGTACTGGTCTGGAAACCTCGACGAGAAAAGCCACTGAGCACGCTGAAGGCAACACGCGACACTCCACTGTTCATTTTGTTCAGAGAAACGCGAAAATAAGTATAAATCGAATCCTGCACGAAGTAAAATCTTCATTAATTAAAGGTTTCTACGACCAAAAGATATCAGGGAGGCAAATACTGAAGAGAATAGCAAACAAAACGAGTAGAAAACTAGCGAGAAGAGCAAAAGAAACATAACCAAAAGTAAGGGACTTGATTTTAAATTTTGCACGATTGCAACTTGATCGTGCAAGACTTGCTATTTTTAGACTTTCTCTAAATCGACTTAATCTGTAGCAAATTTCATTTTGAGAGGTGTTCCCCAGACTACAGAAATGTTGTTCAATCGTAATTTTTTCCTCTTATGCCAAACAGAATATGAGTTGAATTATCTTTTAGATAAATCCCTCCTGGTTTCAAACATTCAACACAAAATTTGGTCGAAAGAGAGGAACTCAGTTTCGATGAAAAAAATCCTGCGTGAATGACATGCTAATGAAGTCTTCTTTTTAAAACAAAATCATATGCACTAAAATTCCTAGACCAACAGAAGAAGACCTTCTGCAGCATAACCCTTAGTTGTTCACATGAAACATCGCGAATAGACGAGAATTTCGACACATAAACATTAGTGATTATGAACCGCTTTTCTTAGCACCGGAACTTCATTCGGCATAAAACCACCACTGCTCTTTACAAAAATCTTGGGAACACGAAGCGCCTTTAAAAGTAAAAAAAAAAAAATTCATTCTTCCTCTTTCAGGCTCAAAGCTTCCAAAAGTTCACCACATTTCTCAAGTTGTTCACTCACCGATCCATCACAGGGTTCAATGTTGAAACCAAGTCGCAGACCGGCAACAAACCTCAAAATTTCGCCTTCATTCGCTTTCACGACTTGATCTTCTATTCGTAACGAATTCGTAAATTGGCAGAGAAACTTCGCGCACAACGGCTTCGCGAAGCCGGAAATGACGTCATAGAGAACCCGACAAACTGGATGATAATCCGAAACACTCAAACCCCGACACATGTCGACCAATTCCCCATTTGACGCTTTCGACTTCCCAGCTAAGATGGCCAAGGCTACACCACGAGCCCCAACCAAACGAGTTGTGCTCAACGCGAAGTGCGATTTCGCGTTTTGCCACGAACACTCCAAATCACTGACGGTGAACGTATTCAACACTTCGTTTAGTCCAAGTAAGATAGCATCCGATGATTGCCTTTCGCGTCGCACGAAAGATAAATCACAAGCTAACGACAGGGACTCCAAAACGTCCAGTAAACTTGGCTTCCACGACAACAAAAGCTGCTCGACTAAAAGTACCGGCCGCATCCACGACCATCTTGGAAAGCATTTCACCAATTCCAGAGCTTCGTCGATTTCACCTTCACAAACAGAAGCCAGAAGGTTAATGGACACGAAAGATCAATGCAATACATTCACGGGGGTTTAATAAGAACTTGAAAAATTTAAATCTTGATACAGTATGAGTACGGAGCAGATTAGAGGAAATCGTAAATAATCCCTGAATTGAGCTCAAATTACAAGCTGAAATTGCGTAAACAAGGTCAGTTTTATCATGTCTTCATTCATTGGCAACCCTTCCCAATAAATTGACAGGTGCAGAAAAAGGAAATACAGTAACTTGAAACGTTGACCACATTGAGCTATATAATGCGAGCAAGACAATTAGCACGTACACGGTATATTTCTTTCTCTCGCAGTATTCATGTTCAATATATATTAAATACTTCTTCATAGTCTGCAATCTATCAGAAAAATAAGTACGCTAATGATAGTCACACCAGAGAAAGTAATTAACATTTTTTTCTTCGGTGTCAAGTCAACGAAATTAGTCGAAGTATAACGATAGAACTTGAGAAGGAAAGAATAACGTCACGATTTAATTCAGGAACCGGGAAAAAACTTGAACGTGAGGCAAATCGAGTAAATTTCTCATAGACCGCATTTCTTTGACGACTCGAAGTACAGTATTTCTCCAGGCCTTGAATGTTTCTTTTCTCAACTCGCGACGAAAATGTAAAACTTTTGAAGCCAAATCTTTAAAATATTCGAGGTTTCGCGATACAGATTCGCAGAAATTACCCGAAAGAAAAGGATTCCCAGAATGACGGATGCACATACCTCCTTCAGTGAGCATACCAATCGCTTTCAGAGCAGTGAGATCAGCTTCCCGAACAGAGGACTCATCTTGATTCGAACTTGCAGCCATGATTTTTGCGGCTAACGCCAAAAACCCCTTTTCGGCTTTTGCAGCCAACGCTCGTCCAGCAGACATGAAATCCCCCGAGGCGAGCGAACATTTCGCAGCCATTTGCTGAGATCCAGAGGCGTTGCGAGAAAAATCCAACCACTCCTTGAGAATCACATCAATGGTGGCATCTTTCCTCCTCAGCCTAGATAAGTCCAGAATTTAGGCAAGGTTCGGTTTAAAATTTGTCATTAAAATCGAACACGGAGCTTCCGATGCTGCACGAACATAATTTAAACTCGATCATCATGATTATCGCGCGAACGACTTTTTCATATATTTTTTTTAATCAGCGAAGTCATTCCTTGTCTGCAGTATCGAGTTTCGCCAAAAATACTGCATGGCCTACAATGTTTATGAACAAGTCGTAGCATAATTTTCGAGAAAACTGTAATTTTCAGTCGAAACTCCTCAAGTCGAATTTCAAGGGACAAGGAAAAAATTCGAGTGTCGGAGGTTTCGAGTCAGGTAAAGCTATCATTTTTGTTCGGGGCATAAAAGAAGAATTTTAGGAAATTTTAATGGGTGATATTCTGGGCCTTAAAGAGCCTCTTGAATGAGTTGACAGGATACTGATCTTGGAGGCAAGGATTCATTTGCTCAATTATTCTTCCCTTTCCTTTTAAAACACATACAGTTACAGCTTTTCTTTTCCCCGTGTCGATAAAATAATAGCCAAAAAGCCCTCAGAAAATTCGTGAAAGGGAAAGCCTTTGCATTTTTTCATTGTTTCTATGAGGGAATTCCGACGGGGACTTGAAACAGATTCGACACATAGAGAGGTATTGCACTTATTGAGATTCGAGTTATCTTCGAGGTTCAATTGTGAACGGTATCATTCATCTCAGAAGTAAGGTAGACGAAATTTAACTAAAATGTATTTGAAAATTTTGGACCATCTCTATTGAAACTTGAAACAAGTACAGAGGTTATTCGTTCCGCCATGAATTCAAATTTTCAAATTGTCTCGCATACGGTCTGAAACAAAGGCGCTCTCATACATTTTCGGAACATGAAAAACAATTCGTTGTATAATTTACTTTGATCCGTCGTTTCTTTTGGGAAAAATAGATAAAACATGGTCAGATTCATACAAACCTCGCCAATGCCAAAGCATCATGAAACTTCCCACTCGCCAACAGGGCTCGAATAGCTCCTTCAGTATCTCCAATGGCTACTCTCGAAACACTAGCTTGCCTGAACCTTCCATTCTTCTCACATTGCCTCGCGTAAGCTTCCGTCAAATCTTTCCAAATTGCCCAGGAATGCATTGGGGCCAATGCGAGCATTTGCTCAGTCACTGTGCCGTCTTCAATTGCCTTCTTGAAAACTGGCATCAAGTCGCCCGAGTAAACCCCACAATCCACGGCATGAGACAACCTGGTCATTCCTGCAGCAGTTGTTGAATTTTCGTAGGAAAGCTGATTCTCGGTTTCCTTCTCGCCTTGAAAAATACGAGCAAATTCAGTCGAAGGTAAAAATCCCAATGAAAGGCAGTGATAAATCCTGAAACTGAGCTTTTTTGGACTTTACTGTTGCGTTTAATGATGTATAGCTTCAACCTAAGGTGAGGTTTCACTCAGCAATTTACGATTGATAACCTTAGAATTAGTTATCGTGGGTCAGATCAGCGATTCAGGCGACACCTAGGACAATTTTCCGGAAGAGAAACGTCGGGTTTGCATAGAAGGAAAATAGTTCTACAGGTCTCGAAGCTTACCGAGGAAAATACCGAGCTGTGGATAACTTTCTTCTTCTTTGCACTGCTCATCAACTCCTCGAACCCGGTTGAACAAATAATTAACTTCTTTCAACACGCTGGCAGTCGGAGCATTATCCATTCGTCTCGTCCACGACAAAAGGGATTTCTGTCTATTCTTGTCACATGCTCTGGCAGACGCGGACGGAACTTGGTCACTGCTCACGGATTCTTCCAAGCGATGTGAAACAGATGACGACTTCTCAGAGAAGGTGTCTTCGACAGGTGCCCGATGAAAATCATAAGACGCGGATTCGGGTTCTGAATTTAAAGAAAAAAGGTTTGAAGTTCAGAACATTTTCGCCTCCTCTTCGACGAACGAATTTTTCAAAAGAACACAGAGTCGAACCTGGATGACTCAAACCTCACTAATTCAAATTGTTTTTCAAGTCCTTGTCCGACTTCTCTTAGAAACAATGCATTAAAAACCTTTCTGAATCAAAGACTCCCCCTAAACCTACAAAAGTCGAATTCTCTGGAGGCATTTTTACCAATTTATTATTGACACAGATATGAGAAAAGCAATAAAAATTTAATTTGATGCGTTTTGAAAGGAAGTGAAAGACCATTTGGGAAAATGAACCCTTGCCTCCAAGTTCGGCATCCTGTCAACATAATTTAAGAAGTAATGCTTACGCTTAGAGCTAGAAAATCGCAATAAAATTTTTCTGCAATTTTTCTTCCTTTCCCTCAACACAAATGTTTCGTTCCCAAACTCGAAACTGGAATTTATTTTGCTGGCCCCCGAAGTTCGACTTAAACTGTATCTTCGAATCATCCACAAGCTCTCGCCATTTGCAGATACAGTACAATGTAAAATCGGTTGGTCTAACCCTTGTGATAAAAAAATTCAATTCTTATTCAAGTAAAAATTACAACGGTGAGATTAAATCAGGATCTATAGTCAAGAATTTTTTGTCTAAACTAGCAGGAGTACCGTTTAACCTAATCATACACAGTAATTCGGTTTCAAATTTTCATTCCAGAATCTTCAAGGCACATTTTTGGGACTACTGCATTCTACGATTTCTGCGCGGATTCTCATCCACACTCTCACAACGCTGCATTTAAAGACGCCTTATCTACAATCGCTTCAATTTTGGCTAACTGGACGAAATTGAAATGCCAACGAAAACATTTTCAATGCCAACGCGAAACAGTTGGAAGATGAGGATCTGATTCATTCAATACTTCTTGAAAATGTTGCGGACTTTTTTCTGTCGCTCTGAGAAAAGCCGAAAAATCAGTGACGATCATGAAAAGATGTGCAGAAAAATACTGTATATCCTATGCACTCAAATGGTTCATCTCACTGCATTGAATTTCTCGTAAGTTTACCTGGACAGAATAGGATGCATATATGTTCATAATTAAAAAAAAAAAGTTATTGAAAACGGATTTCCAGAACCGGTGACATCCTACGAGGCTGCGAACTTTCTTCGCAGACCGTATTCTCGAAGGCCTATCGTAGCCACACACACAAAAAAAAAAAAAATTGACGTACGTTGAACTTCAACTTTCACATCTCCAGCTTCAGAAGAAGATTTCAACGCTTCCCCATTCGCAGTGATTCTCGAATCGAGACAGCGATTTCCCCTGGTGATTTTTTCTTGAGCTTCGACCACTTCCACTTGTCGCTCGATCACCGCTTCCATGTCCGTCTCACTCGACTGGAAAAGACAACACATGTCTCCGCCGTGAAGAAAGTACTCTTCAGTCGCGTCTTCCTTCTGAGCTGGGACGACACAAACAGTGAAAACCCGTTCTTGTTTCACGGCGGGTTTAAGGACGAAGTCGGATTTCCTCTCGCCCGAGCAACCATTCAAAAGACACCAACACCGAATCGCGCCATCGTAGCCGCCGGAATAAAGTTTCCCGGATTTGTTGGGGCTCCAGCAGATGTCAGGAATGCGACCACTGTGTCCTTTCAAAATGCATGTCGCCTGGAACATAAAAATGACAACTGGAATCAGAGACTGCTGTAATTTTCATAGTTTCTACTTTATCTTAATTTTCATCAGCTGTTGTGCACTTTTCAAATGAATGGACATTAAAATGTCCATTCATGAAATGAAGAATCCCAAAAATTAAAATTGAACGAATTGAGATGATACAATTACTGCCTGTTGAGACAGAAGTAAAAAGCTTGTAACAACGAATACCGTTACAACAAAATTTTCAGCAAAACAAACTATTTTCCAAGCCCCAGCGGAGATCCAGTATAGGGTACATCTTATAAAAATCTTTCCATAAAAAACTTGCCAATTCCATTACAATGAACTTCTCAAGGAACATGCTCTGATTTCCTAATGAAAAATCCCCAAAGAAGGCAGGCACATTCTCACATTTCCCATTCAAAATTTGAGTGTGACTGGTTCTTGGGGCATAAGGTGGAATCAAGGACAATTCTTCAAAATTCACCTCAACATCCTCACTTTGGTCAAAAATTGTTCCTGGGTCAGAAAAGGTGGCAGAGGAGAGGGGGTAAAATAAAAAAATTAATACAGCAAAAGTCATGTTAAACGGTGTTTGTATGCTTGAGAAACCCTACTGATATGAAAGTTGTAAAATTTGTTGGAACACCTACCTTTCAAATTTGTGCAGCAATAGCTTAGAAAAACTTGAAGTCGACGAACATGCCAGTGTTTACCTATTATTCCAAGTAAATTGTTGTTATTAACACTTACATTCCTATTTGAAGATCACAGTTTTTTAAACACTGAAACACGTCCAAAAAAGCCAAAAGAGGAAGATTATGGGTATATGCAGGTCTAAAATAAAATCTTCCAATCAGTCAACAATTTTGAAAATCTTGTAATAACAAATTATTGTAACAGTATTAACAAACTTTTTCTGAAGTCCACACAAGTTTGTTGCAATAAGATTTTACTTTAGTATAATATATGTTATCAATTTTGCTATTCGTTTGTCAATGAGGCCTTTAATCTATATTAATGCCATTTCCTATGCTGCACATTCTCATGCCACAAAGAATTGCAAATACAGCAATTCTTTGTGGCATGAGAATGTGCAGCATAGGAAATGGCATTATATGCAAAGGAAACCAAAACGTTTGACAACTTTCACATCAATTACAGTCTCCTGCAATAAAGAACAATGGAAGCCTAGTAGCCCTCTGCTGATTAAATTGAATAGCGTTAATAGATAACGTCAATCTCAAATGTCAATGCGTTTAAATAAATCGGGAAACTCGACAAAATTTCTCTGAAATGCAGAATAAAAAAATTACAGATTTGGAGCAATCAAGACAAACATCTTCATATAAAGCTTGACGCTCTTGATCAAAATTTTTGTTAGGAATGCGTAATCTCAAAAAGTTAATAATTAACAGGGGAATTCAATGTTCCTGAATACTGTGATTGATCAAAGCCTTGCGGCAACTGAGCCACAAAATGCATAATGCTTTAGAAATAAATCGATAAGTTCATATTCCGCAGATGTTCCTTTGCTTGCCGTGAAATGAACTCAATCCCCCAAAATTACACTGTAACATACTGCATATGATATATTGTAATACATTAGTTGATTTGAGAAAAAAGTTCAAAGTGCTCAGACTTTTCTTTGTGCATTGCGAAATAAACGAAATATCCCTAAGAATCTCTGAAAAAATTGTTATCCTAAGTTAGCACAGTTTTGTGCAAAATAAAGACTTTCTATTTCCAGATTCTCTTCAGTTTTCAAGATTTACTTGAATTTGAATTCTGTTAGGATAAACTAGGTTTAAGAGAAAATTTTGTTTATTATGGCCATCAGGGATTTTCAAAATTATCCAAACTCTTCTTACAAATGCAACAGCTTAATATCTATATATACTGTACTTGTATCCCTTCAGACAAAAGACTGGAGCACATGCACATACCAGACTGACAATGAATAGGCAGAGTGTTCAAACACTCCTTTATAGATTTGGATGCACAAAAGGCTCATGACCACACATAAACAGAAATGGAACCAGGATAGCCAAAAGGTAAACAACTGGTGACCAGACAGAGTGATGAAACAATGCACAATCCAGTTGCTATGCAGCATTGTGAAAGTGAAACTACTGTACATCTAAAAATCATGAATTGAAATTAAGGTATTTTTTTACGTGCTGCGGGACTCACTAAATTCAGAACAAACTATTATCAAGATGACAAAGTGATATATCATCAATGATATGATCCTCCAGTATTGTCAAAAATAAAAATAAGGGATGTTTAGAAACTACAGATTTATGAAGTTTAGCAGAAGACACTAATCCTTGAGGAATCTCATGGGACCAGAGTTGACCTCAAGTTCCCACAATCTTCCTCCCAAAATTTGTTCCATCCTTCTAGAAATCTATTCTTGATGAAATCCTTGAAACCAAGACCCTTTCTTTGCATTCTTTTCTTCATTGAAATAATCTTCCTGTTTGCTGAAAACCAACAGAAAAATGAATTTGAGTTTTGATTGTCGCATCGTGCAGACCTAGCAAAAATCCAATTTTTTTGTTGCGTTTGCTATCTTGATTCAAGTAGAAACTTCATCAGTTGTCCTGCTTGGACTTGTGAAAACTTTGTCTCTTTTATCAAACAAAAAATACAACATTTTATACTAGGACTTTTTAGTCCCGGCCGCAGCCTGGCTGATTGAGCTGTTTCATTTATTCTGTTTCTTGCGTCTTAAAATTCAAACTCTTTGATGCTTCATTGCTAACTTCTTGAATTGCTCTGATTTCAATTAAAAGGAACGTTTTCCTTTCTTGTCAAGAATTTCTTTCTGACAAGTATCATCCTTGATATTGCTGTAAATAAAACTCTTACAGTTTTCCTTGAACTAGGGATTCTTCTACTATTTTCTCGAAGTGTCGAAGAAATTCATTACATCAAATTTACTAATAATATTCTTCTGACGATACTCATGACAGCTAGTCGATGAAAACTCAACGGCTTTCGAAGGAAATTCCATTTTACAAGGATAAGGATCATCCCAGCTCTCACCTGCCCAATAGTTCGAACATCTGTCGTCGTCGTCGGCGGAGCGACTTCCGGACATTCCACGACACACACCTTACTTTTGTTAGTCCCAAAAGCCAATAAATTCTTGAACTTTTCGCCGTTACTGTCGCAGAATCTCGTGTGCGATGGGTGGAAGGCAATCGACATGACGGCAACAGGCTGACACACGATGAGCCAAAGCTTGGAAACTTCCGGACACGAATACACCTCCACACTTCCGTCCATGTTCCCGAGGGCCATCATTTTCATGTCGTCCTTGACAGTGAATGCGGACCTCACAATTTTTGCGGTGTCTGCCGGCATGAAATTCAATTATTCCGTCATCTTTTCTGTCGGACACTGAGGCAAACTGATGAGTTGCATTCAACAGGTTCTTTCCTTCACCCCCGGGAAAATACTCGTATGTTTTCGATACAGTTTGAATGGGAGTCTCTCGGCACGATACTGCAGTACTTTCGTCATCATCTCATCACAAAAAATCCCACTAGAAAAAAACCTTTTCTGCAATTATTATTAATGATTCAACAATGCATCCACTGTACGATTAACGTTAATATCATACGCAATTTAATCATTTTAACGCTCCCCCAATATTTTTGAAAATGCCAGACAGCAGTTTTGACACCCTGTACATAATGTATAAAAGATCTTATTGCAATCTTCCACGGGAGAATCAATTTTTTTTATGCGTTCGAAAGAACATCATCGAAACGTGACGAAATCTTCGTTCGAAATCCCGGATCACTCATTCATTTATTCATTCGCTCACGACGTTTGATCGAAACTTGCTACTTCTCAAACAAAACAAAAAAGAGCTATCACTTCACAAAGAAAAGGGCAAAAGGGATCCATCGATTTCTTCCCGACTAACCATACCCGAGGGGTCTTTAAAAAAGTATCGGAATATAAACTGAAACGGGCATACGATTGAGCTGAAAAACAATTACTGTATTTGTCAACAACAAATATTCTTAAACTAAAGAAAAAATTTATCTCTGTTCGACATATTTTGTAAAAAATATTTGCAAAAGTCATCGTGGTTGCTTTCTGCTCTTCACTCGAAACATGGGGTGCCAATCTCGCAGATTTTTTTGGTGCACCCCAGCCTTGAATTCAAAATTCTTGAAATTGAAAAGACATTAATTGAAAGTGTTGCCAACATGAATTGATTCCTAATTCCGCAATGCATTTTTTTCAATGCACGAAAAAATGCATTTAAATCGGCGGAGAGTACTTTGAAAGCACTGAAATGTTGTCAAATGATGGGGCTATGCGAGTAAAAAATGTTTCTGGAATAGCTGAAACTCCGTTGGATCTATTGCAAAATGTTTCAAAACTTATGAGCCAACCCTCGTGAACTCACAAGGCATGAAAGCACAACTCCATCGTCATTCAGTCCCTTTTTTCCCCGTCCCAGCCCCTGATCAACTCTCACCGGAACCCTCAGCATTGTCTCCAAAGGCTTTGTCAAAGTCAACCCCGACGGTTTTCAAGTCCGGGGCATGAACGTGCACAACTCCATCCCCGCAGGAGAGCAAAGAAAACGCGGCTTCCAGTTCCACTCCTGTATTCTTTCCACGATCGTCGATAACGATCGATTGCTGCTTCCTGGACGACCACAATGCCGGGGTCCACTTGACAGAGTACACTGTTTTCTTGTGATAAAACGGCGACACTTGTGGCGTCGGCTGCTTCTTACCACCTGACACACAGAAGAAAAAAATTATAGGATGAAATGTATTTCTTCCCTGATGAAGCTACAAAAAAAAAATCCCCGCGTTTAGACGTCGCAATAATTCAAAAATAAACACGAGAATCAACAGGGGCAGTGTTCGTCCCCACTTAACGCTCGCCAAACACAATTTTCATTTCAAGTTCAGCGGAACGTGCGGCACTTGCAAAAAGCCATTAACCACGGCGAAGGTGTGGTGCAGAATTTAAATTAAGTTCGGTAGCAATGAGTTTATATATCATCTAGAACTTGAGAACTCTGCCAATACACAATGTCGTGCCACACATGCTTTAAACCAATGCTCCCCAACCGGTGGTCTGCGGGCCGGCGCCAGTCCGCAGGAGTTTTTCGCTGGAAATTTTCTGCCACATAAAAAATTTATAGAAAATAGCAATGAAGTCTGCTATGTTTATTTGGAATTTCGAAAAGACAATGGAAGTTGAAATTATCTGATGAAAAAAATAATAAAAGTAGGCATTTTTCTAAACCTTGAGACACATTTCACATGCTGAAATGATTTACAGTAATTACATTTTTCTTTTCATTCTGAGAAACCTTTATTCAAGCACACCTTTCGAATTTTTGAAGATACTTCACTACAGCTGCTTCATTTTACTGTAGTTCATAATTTCTGCAAAAGAAGTAAAAACTTTTTTAAATACCTGCGATAAAATCTTCCAAGCAAAACTTTTTAGAGTCCGCAAAAATTGTACAAATTTTTGAAGGTCTGCAGAAACTTTTAAGAAACTTTGCAGGTTTGCGAAAACTTTTTGAGGAATTTGCAGGTCCAAAAAAAAATTTACGAAAATGTTAGCGTCTGTGGGCCCAAAAAGGTTACTTTCATCTTTGTCTAAAATTTTGGATTTACAATCAAAGTTGAATTATCTGATAAAAAATATAATTTGGCTTTTTTCCTGAACCTTGAGAAAAATGTCACATGCACATGTCAGTCATTTCATTTTTTTTTCTCATCCTGAGAAACCTTCATTCAAGCTCACCTTTCCAATTTTTTAAAGAAAATTCACTACAGCTGCTACATTAGTTCTTAATCTTTGCAAAAATTAAGTAGACACTTTTTGAATACCTGCCATAAAGTCTTATAAGCAACAATTTTTGAGTCAGCAAAAACTTTGCCAGTACGCATAAAATTTTTGAGGAATTTTCCGGTCCTCATACAATTTTACGGAAATTTGGCGGTCCGTGGGCCCAAAAAAGTTGGGGAAGCCTTAAACCATCCATATAGTCACTCAAACGTTTTTTTTTCTTGCCGTCAATTCACGAACATGGTTTCGACAGCTTCCCGCGCGAGTGAAAAATTTTTAAAAACATTTTAGCAAAAAAAGGCGAAATCAACGTTTTTGGAATGCACTGATGAAAAGAGTTGAGGCTTCCTGTAATTAGTCCACAAATTCACAAGCTTCAATATTCAATTGAGTAGTAAAAAACGAAGTAACGGAAATGGAGAAATATAACCAGTATAAAGTTCCTCGAAACATTTAATACAGTTTATAATAAAGCATCAACGAATTTCATGAAGTGATAAAATAACTACGCATAAGCAACTTACGGTAAACACGTTCAGACGTTTCAAAGTTCTTAATATTGTATTAACTGATGAATTTCATGAACATTACTCATTTATACTACAGTATGATCAAATCCGTTAGGAATCCGGAAAAAAAATGACGGCACACATTTTCCAGAACTGGATACAGGGGTTTGAAAAAAAGGAGTAAAATATTCCGCAGTTCAGATCTTGGGTTTAAAGTAGACGGAAGTGCATCTATAGTTGCACTCTACAAAATGCGTTACGAGAGCTTGATAGAATCTGTGCACAGCGGGAAATAATTTTAAAAAATAAGGTTGGCCTCGTCGTAACAACGTAAAAATTCCTCCCGGAAGTTAATCCAATTTACTAAGCTACAGAATAAACACTCTGGCACACATGAGATACCCAGAAGCAGATGGAACTTGGGGTGAAATACTGTATTCAAATATAATTTGTGTATCCCAGCGAAATTTTCACGCATTCCAAAATAATCCCCATTGTTATTGGCGCACCATCAGAAATTGTAACTCATGAACTACACATCTTCTCACAAACGGCCAAGTACTGTTTCAATTCTCGACACTCTCTCCGAGTAAAACGTCGTTAATTGAAAAAAAAAAATTTATTCCTCATTCAACCTAGAGCCAAAGCCGTTTCAGAGCATCCTTTCTTTTCTTTCTTTCGCCTCTTTATCAATTGAAATTCAAGAAGTAAAAAACATACTGTGATGAAACGATTTGAAGATGCCGATTCTTCCTTCCTCGGTTCCGTAAGCGAGCCAGGGTTCCTCGTCTGCTTTGGTTCCTTGATCAATGCGAAGAGCCCGTGGGAACCAATCCAATGCTGTAACCCGTCCAGCAACTTTGTTACTCAAATTGATCACTCGTTGTCCAGCGAAAGGTACGGTATACACGCGGATCCCGGCGTCTCCGCATCCAACTGCCACCTGGACATTCCAAAATACAGCAAAATCTCATTACAACAAACTCCCTGATGGGACTTGACAAAAAATTCGCTGTGTCGAGATCCAAAGTTTCGACACATTTCAGACGAATATTTTGTAGGTAATGGGTAATAAACACAGCGAAGCCATTCTTCAACAGATAATTCAAGACCTGTTATTAATTATAATGCTCAGTGATGAAAGGGAGAGGAAAATCTTTTGAATACATAAAATTCATCAACATTTTGTAGGTAATGGGTAAATAAATACAGTAAAGCCATTCGTCAACAAATAATTCAAGAAATGTTTTCAATTATAATGCTCACTGATGAAAGGGAGAGGAAAATTTTTCGAATACATAAAATTCATCTCTTTTTATTAAACCTGCCTGTTTTTGTGCTTGATGTGCTGTTTATTTTGAAAAATAGAATGGAACAAAAGTACTGCATACCTTGCATGAGGGAGAAATATTTCACTCCAGATCAACTTCTCATTTACACATGTTCACTGTTTGAAATGAAGGAAAAGTATTCCCAACAGTTTGTTTATTTGAACGAAAAAACATAAATTCTGAAATGGTGCTGAAGAACATCCAATAAATTTGTATTATTATTTTTTTTCTAACAGTAAATCTTTTACAAAGTTTTGCTTCTTTGATGAGGTTACAAACTTAACTTTTCCCAACACTTTCTTCATTTGAAAGAAATGCATAAATTTTGAAATGGGGCCAGAGAACTTACAAAAATATGTCATGTGTATTTTTTCTTCAAGAGTAAATTTTTTTTTTTACAAAGTTTTGCTTTTTTGATGAAGTTATTGCCAGCTCAACTTTTCCCAACACTTTGTTTACTCGAAAGAAAGGCATACATTTTTAAATGGGGCCAAAGAACTTCCAATAAATATGTCATGTGTATTTTTTTAAACAGTAAATTTATTTTCCACAAAGTTTTACTTCTTTGATGAAGTTATCATCTCCACTTTCTCTCAAACGACTTACTAGCTTCAACGAAGAAAAAAGCTACACACGATAGAATAATTTCTTTCAAAAAAAGTTCTCAGCATTCAACCGCATCAAGAATTCAATGCTGAATGCCTTCCCGTATACAAGAGAAACTGACCCGAAAACATAAAAACGAAATGAATGACTGAAAAAAAAACAAAAACTTTACAAACCGTTCTTCCATCCGGGGCCAAAGCCACGCAGTTCACAAACCCAGCCACGGTAGTTTGTCTCCATTTCGGCGCAGAAAGGTCGTCCCCGGACCAGGCACACATCATCCTGTCCTGGCCGACGGAAACAAGTAATGGAGCGAGTACTGAGGCCGCCAGGGACTGGATGTTGCCCGCGTGGGCTTCCCCCAACGATTTGTCTTCAGTCAGGCTCTGCTGGTTCCCTTCCTCCGATGGGTTATTCAACCACCGGAAGCTTCGGATTCTGTTCCCGAGACCGGAAACGACTAATCTCTCAGGCGCGATCCACGCGGTTTGAAGCTGTGGGGTAAGAAGGGAAAAACAATCAATAAAAAATGAGGGTAAACTGCATTCTATCTTCCTTTTCTCTCAATAAGAAACTACTGCTCCGGAGCTTCCATGATATAAAATTCCTTGACGGACATGCTTTGTTCGAAAAACAAAAACACGAAAAACAAAATTCAAGTGCAAAGAACTTCAATAATTCAACCTCACCTAAAACTTGAACAACGCAACACTAAAATACAGTACCTCAACCCAATACAGTAGATCCAAGATGTTCACACTTCACTAACCTATTATGAACAGCACGTCATATTTTATTCAGCTCGAAACAATTCCATCGGCCAGACATGATTTAAAATTTTCATCACGGGATCCTGCTTTTGGCACATATTCATATTGGCACAAAATTCAAGTACACAGAACTTCAATAATTCAACCTCACCTAAAACTTGACCAATGCAACACTAAAATACAGTACCTCAACCCAATACAATAGATCCAAGATGTTTACACTTCATTAACCTATTATAAATAGCCCGTCATATTTTATTCAGCTCGAAACAATTCCATAAACCAGACATGATTTACAATTTTCATCTCGAGATCCTACTTTTTGGCACATACAAATCAAGTGAATGAGGACGAGCTTTCCGGGTAAATTTCTTACCCAAGGGCGCTTGATTGTGGAACCGGAAGATGTTTCTGCAGATTTCTTGTCAACTTCTCCGCAAACTGATCCAACGCTTTCTCCCGTTTCAGAATTCCAAACATAAACAACGGACTCTCTGGCACTGGATACAAGATACCTGAAATTACCAAGACAAGTCAGTTCAGAATCTAAACGAAAATTTCCAGTGGATTTTGAAAAGAAAAAATGAAACTCCTTATTGGTATTCACAAAAAAAGTTATGAAGGCATTGATTAAATTCACTAAATCTTCCAAGGGAGCAGAGAAAACATTGAATCAAAAACTTTCAAATCTTGAGGAAACGAAGTCAAGCTCTAAATATATTCACAGAAGATTTCCATGAATTGCAGACTTTCTAACAATACTTAGTCCCTATCTTGTCCTTTTCCTTCAACAGAAAAAGTAATTTAGAAAGAGAGGTTCACAAAACAAACAGTAAATATATCCAGGATAACCAATTGACACTGGGCAAATAAAAACAGTTTCCAGTCTTTTTCAGTGCAAAAAATCAAGGCATTAGTTGCAGAAAGTTTAGGCATTGACTTACTATCGCCAGTGTTTTAATTCTTGAAAAAACAAGTGCATATGTGTCACAAAAAAATTTAATGGCTCAGAAGGAGAGGCTCAAGGCCTTGAGAATGATTAAGCACCTTCTCCAGATGACAGGAATGAAATACTGGGCAGTCCCTAGAATTGTATTCAAGATCCTAATTTTACCATCCGCATACTGTATACTGTATACAGTCATACTGTATCAAACTGTCTAATTTCTGCTCAAAGTTTGGAAAGAATGCATTTTTGGTTGGATTCAATTCTGACTTTGTTTCAATATTTTTTCAATCTTTTGACTGATTTGGAAAACATTTCTTGACTCTCATGGTGATGGAATTTATAGAAATTCCAGATTCGGACTTCTTCTTTTCATCATCAACTTGAAATTACATGTTAATTTTGGAGACACTTGATGATTCAAGAGGCATCACATGAAAGTTTCGGGTCAATTTTTGTCACTTCGCATGAAATCTTGATAGATAATCAGCTCTTAAAACAAGCATGGATGAAATCAAACAGTATTACGATATTCTTAGAAAATAAAAAAATATAGAAAACCATACAGAACAATGCTTCGGGATGATACTTCCGCAAAAATCGTCACATTTTTCCTCAACAAATCGCATGAAAAACGAAATATGTGAACAACATGCGCAAGTGAGACGCGAACTCACTTTCCATCAGGATGCCACAAGAGTCCCGTGACATCCGAATCGTGACGACGCAATCGATGAACAATTTCTCCAGCACCACGAAGTCGAACCAACATCACCAGTCCAGCCTTGCATCCAAAGGCAACCAAAGAAGTGTCCATGGGACTGCAGGACACCAGAGCTGGCCTAGGAACCAGTTTCGGGAACTCGACGAAATGGTTGTCCACCACGCGGAAACTAACGACTGTTCCCAATGAATCGACGCTCACGATCCATCTGGAAAAATGACATCAAGAAAAAAACCCCATGTTTTCAATTAAAGTATAGTGGGGTCTTGGTTCATGAACTTAATCAGTTCCTGAGCCAAGTTCATTACCCAAATCACATTTTACCTTAAGAAGATACAGGAATAATTTCAATTGGTTCCACAACTTTGCAAGTGTACATGAAAATCATTAAAATGTGTACCTAGTCTTTCTACTGGGCCTAAAATCCAAGAACTTTGATGTTACTTATCTTATTCAGTTTTAATTATTTTTATTTTTTCAATTTTATTTTTATTAGGAAGAAAAGCTCAAAGAAGTGTTGATGAAGACAGGAGCCCAAGGAGAATGCCAGAGAAGGCAGCTGGAGTCAACACTTTCTACACACACACAAAAAATAATTCAGTAAATTTATTTGAGCCTCTTAGTCAATCCTTCCACACAATTCATTCACTCTGCACTGCTGTACACTCCTTTCAGCACTAAGCCCAATTTTTTCAGTTGGAAGCAGCTTGAGAGATCTACAAGGAATAAATTTGAAAAACTGTTGCAATAAAAGTCAAAATCATGCAAGAATTTTTTATTTTTTGTAATTCCAACCTCTATCCTGTAGAAGAGCAAGAAATATTTACTGGGAAATATATGGTACCAACTTCAGACCCAAGGAGGGTGGGCATTTTGGGAGGCCTGCCTTCAAAATCAAAGTACAATATGTAAACCAAGTCATGGTTTGTTATCCAAGGCAGCTGAGGCCAAAATGCCAAGTATTCTATCCAAATAATTTTTTAACCAGGGGGTTTGTTAACCAAGACCCAACTGGATTCAGAATTCTACATAATGCAGTCAAACAATAAAAAAACTTCAATACTCACTGCACTTTCAAGTGTTCCCTTGTTCCATCTCACATTCCATTCAGCATTTTTACAATTGCTGTACAACCACGCCTTTTTTACATCCTTTATTTAAATATGCCTTTCTACATTGTTAGTCCTTCCCTTGGCCCACCGCACAACCAAGTATGTTGACACCAATCCAAATTGGTTGCTATGCTTGGCGCTGACCTCCATTCTGGATTGTCTATATATACGAGGGTTCTAACAAAAGTTCTCGGAATGAAAATGAAGATGGCGTCTAATCAAGCTGGAAAAAAATTATTCTTTANGGGTGCCTCATCTGTTGAGTGTATAGCAAAACTCTGTCAGGGTAAATTTTGCAAAATATTGAAAAAATTGTCAAACTGGGCTGATTTTTTTTTGTGCCAAAGAATATGGTTGCCCTAAAGAATCATTTTTTTCCAGCTCGATTAGACGCCATCTTCATTTTCATTCCGAGAACTTTTGTTAGAACCCTCGTAAGTGTATCATGATGTGAAGCAAGTTTACTCTGACCAAATGCTGCCACAAAACCTTGCTGTCACTCTGCTCATGAACTAAATCTGATTCTATGCTGTGTGTATGCAATACAATACTTGTACAAAAATCTGTATTCTTTGAAAGTACACAGAAAAACAACTTGAATCTTCTATACAATCCAGTCAATGACCAATAACGTAAAATTAAACACATTGATTGTCTGACCAGCAATTGGATATTTGTGAGTAATTTCTCATCAATTAAGACAACAATAACAAAACGAAAAGAATAAACCCACTTGGAATCGGAGGTGAAATCCAGCGACAAAACTTCCGCTTTCTTGCTTTTCGCGTGCAAAAGATGCGATGCAACCTGCGTCACACTCCAAGTATTCTTCTTTTTTGACGAGGGAAGTGCGTCGGATGATTTATCGAGTTCTTCAAAATCATTCGACTGATTTTGCGAAACTTCTTCGCCGGAATTCACGAGGTGATCCGACAAGAGCCAGGCCTTGATTGATCCATCACTTCCCAATGAGCAGAACTTGTTTCCCGATCTGCGAAAGAAAAATGAATAATGGCAGTTCTATCTGAGAAATTAAATTCATTTTATTTTTTGAGACTATAATTGGTGCATCAAGAGTGTCCCTAAGTCGAAATGTCCCCAAGTTGAGTCTTGCTTTCCCTTAGACTTAAATTATATAATTTTTTATTTATGTTTTTTGGAAGAAATATTCGTCAGAATTCCATGATAAAAATTTGTTTGAAACTTGAATTTGATTCTGTAAATATTTTTTCAACTCAATGATGACATTTGGAGCATTGAATAATGTACCTTAGTAGAGTACTGTACATTGCAATGTTGGCATCTGTAGAAATAACATTCAAGTCACAAATGGAGAAGGAAGTCCCTCTATCATATAGGTAATTTTTATTCAATTAGCTGAATGGATGGGGAAATGATTGGGAGAAATACCAAAGAATTTTTCTTGCATAGATCTTAGGGTTGGAAGTACAGTACAGTACTTGGTTTTGGGGGAGGGGAGAACCAATTAAAATACTGTACAAGAACACAACCTATTGAACCCACATTTCCTTCAGAAAAGATAATTTTTATTTTGTTGATTCCCAAAGAGAAGAAAATAAAATCTGCAGCAACTCACGAGACGCCCTTTGCGGCGACCACCGCCAAAACGTTTTCTGTCCCATGCGCTTGTCTTTGCACGGCGACAAAATTTAAAATTAGGTCTTTCCAGGCGTAGAAAAAGATGGCGTCTCTTCCGGCAAAGGCCAGGATTCCAGCATCATTCACTGAGATGGCTTGTGGCGTGTACCAAGGTGGACACGTGGGATTCAACAGCTTCATAGTAGGTACTTCACTGGTTCTGCAATGAATGAAGAAGAAGAAAAAAAACTAAACACACAATTTTGAATTGCAGTAATGGGAATATTCGGGAAGGTAAATACTGTAACCAGAAAGCCATTATTCCACCCCAATATACACCCACTCTCCTTCATTCCGGGACCTTTCATCCTTCGCTTTTTGGGGACAACTACTGTATCTTCTGATTAACGAATCTTAAATTAGAGGCAACCATCCAGTTGAAGGCTTCGTTTAGGGATAACATTTCTTACAGTTCCTTGAGTCACTTCAGGTAGTGTTAGGTAACTTGGCTCGGATTATTTCATTTTTGGTTAGTTAAGGTTGGGTAAATTTGGCTCAGGCTGGTTTAGTTTAGATTAATTTAGGTCATGTTGGGTTGATTTTGATTACTCTAGGCTATTTAAATTTAGGCTATGCTAGGCTATTTTAGTTTAGGTTAATTTAGGTTATTTTAGGTTGGATTAACTTAGATTATTTTAGTTCAGGTTAATATAGGTTCTTTTAGTTTAGGTTAATCTAGGTTATTTTAGTTTACGTTAGGATAACTTATGTTAGTAAAGCGTATGTTGATTTAGGTTGCTTCTATTCTTATACATTTTCTGATAAGACATTTTGTTACAAAAATGTTTGAAAAATTGATCACAGCTGTCCCCAAAATGCAAAGGATGAAAGGCAACAATTTTGGAGGTGGATGTAGGGGCACAGGAAATGGCTGGCAGGGAAGGTATCATTGGTTGAAATACCCCTATGAAACTGAGTAAGTTTTTGAAAGGGGATATGGACAAATCAAGACAGACAATTTTAACAGGAATATTTGAGACAGGGACAATTTGAGACAAAAACTGTTGTAGACCGGGACAATTGCACAAATCGAGACAGGGACAATTTGAGACAGTCCCAAGGTACCTCTGCACACAAGTTTTTTGTTTAATTTTCTGGTTTTCCCAAGATTCTTCGTAAATCTTGGGGAATTTTACACTTAATATTGGGGAATTTTTATTATTTTAAAAATTTAATTATTCGAAATATGGTTTGTTATTTATATTCCATTACTGTATACAGTAATGCTTGCGTGCAATATATTTGTTTTATTTACAAGGTGTTATGTATAGAAATTTGTGTAATTTGTCATGACCATAAGCGAATTTTTTGTGCAGTTTACTTCTGCCAATATTGAAAAAAAAATTGATGAAGGATGTTCTGATGTTTTTTTTCTTTTATGTGTGCTACAGTGTAATAAAATGTATCAAGCAAGGAATAAAAACAAGGAAATGCTTCTGTCTCAAATAGTCCTTGTCTCAAAATGTACCTTTCTCAAATTGTCCCTGTCTCCAAAAGTTCCTGTCTTGAATTTGCCCTGTCTTCAATTGTCTGTCTTGATTTGTCCCAGATACGTTTTAAACACAAACAAATTAAGCCCTTGGGGGTCAATCCTGATCAAGAAGAACGGAATAAACGTTATCTGCGGGAGAAAAAAAAAACGCGTCATGTGAAATGTTTCACTCATTCATTTTGTGGTATACCGCGAAAAGAAAACCGACAAGGATCCTGATGACAAGATCTATCCTTTTTTTTATCAATGACCATCAATTGCCTAAAAAACGGTCAATAAATGCAACCAGAAATTGTCAAGAATTTGTCCAATAGGTTCCTTCTTTTCCTCAACTTGACGAGGGAAGCAGCAATTGTAATCTACAAGAATCCTTTCATTTCTTCAACTTAACCTGTACTCGAAGCCGTTCTGGGGAAAAAACACGTTTCAAAAAATGCTTCGTAAAAATTTCGAGACAGAAAAATCCGTATCATCAGCCCCTAATCTGAAAAACATGAACCTTTTTGTCTCGTCAACTGTGAGCGAATATTACGTGAATATGAACAGCACTATACAGTATTCGACAAGCTTCGCACAAGACCCCACCGTCTAAAATAATTTAAGCAAAAAAATTGGAACAAAGGTAAACTTCTCCAAAGAAATATGAAAGGTCGTACGCCAACGTAATTCAATAATCTACCAACAGCCCCCACAATTTCCTCTTTTTAGGATCTGAACAGCATTGCAGGAAATCCCCAACTTGAATATGTGCGAGACTCACTCCAAAGATTACCCAACAACTCGCACAGGGACAACTCACCAAAGGCAAAAACTGGAATAATTTCCATTTTTCCCACAATTTCCCAATTTTTACTTCTAGAGACAGGTGAGTGGAAGATACGAGGTAAGAAAGGTATTTTTTCCTCAGTTTAGATTGCTGAACTAAACAGGCAATATATTCTTCGAAAGTCATCATAAATCCCCTTTCCAATATCATGACCATCTCACTTTTAACTATGGAAGATACTACTCTGGGTACTTCAGTACAGTGAGACCCCCACATGTGGACACCTTGACATGCGGACAATTTGATATAAAGACAATTATTTTCCTAGAAAAAATTAATAAAAAAGGGCCAACATGAGGACACTGACTCAACATAGGGACATAAAAATGCATAAAAATTTGTGATAAAATTGCAAATACATTTCAGGCCAAAATACAAGAAACATATATTTCCAACCCTAAAATTGATGGCAGAAAAGTTATTGGGCATTTCTCTCACCAATATACCATCCATTTACCTAATTTGAAAAAATTACCTCCAGCATAGAGGGACTTCCTTCTCTCCTTTTCTCTTGAATATTGTTTTTAAAGAGAATACCATCATTTTGATGTACTGTACAGAGGTATCAGTATTCAATTCCCCAAATGTCCATATTGCGTAGAAATATATTGATTGCATCAGTTTAAATTGGGAGACACTTTTTATTTTCATGGAACTATGGTGAGTATTTCATATATAAACTATAAATTAAATAATGTAAGTCTAACAGAAAATGACACTCAACTTAGGGACATTTTGACTCAAGGACACTCTTGATGCACCAATCACATCCGCATCTGGGGGTCTCACTGTAATTTCAATATAAATTTGGATTGTTGTTCTTGAGAAGTTTGAGATTTCATGTAAGGGTTGAATAAAACTTGAGAATTTGGTTGGGCTACAACAAAGGTGACTGAACACCCTATTCTAAGGACAATATATTTCCATGAGGAAGTGTTACTAATCACAAAATTTGCCAAGTAATCTGGAGATCCTTGCAGTACTACTGCTCAGATCAAAGGGAAGTTTTTGGTAAAGGTTCTTAGAAGAGTTTCTTTCAAGGCTGCATATTTCCACTGAAATTGTTCTTTTATACATCCAGTTTCTGTTTCAACAGTTTCTATTTCCAATGGTTTCAGTTTCTAAAGAGTTGGGGATTTTTATGAACATTGGTAGTTTTACAGATTCCCATGGGAGCAAAGGTGAAACCCAATTTGCACAGAAGCTTCCAAGGACGAGTTTTGGCAGAACACAAAAAACTTGTCCTTCCATGAATTGACGGTGGAACAAATTTAATACTGGCGCTCTCTTTGAGATATTTAGTTTTTACAATGCAAGAATAGCTTGATGAATTGTCGTTTTCCTCAGAATTGCACACTGAATTGGCAGCAGCTGTTCAATTGATGCCTAACTTCTGTAACAAGCCACAAACAGTTGATCCCACAAATCTGAAATGATTTTGACACTTGAACAATAATATATACTGTACCATGTTCAAAAAGGTAAAGATGATAAACTTGCAAAGAAAATGTAGTCACAGTCACACAAGTACGAAACTCCCAGGGAAAAGATTTTCATCTTTTAATTAGATTAAAAGATCAAACAATCTCTGAAACCCCAAGTACAACAACTCCAGCATATTCAATAAAACAAATAATTCCCTTCATGCGTACGTATACCTTGTCAATAATTACAATACGAATTCAGGAAAAAAACAGGTTTCTTGCCTCGTCTGATACACTCCCCTGAATGTATGAGTAAGAATTTTAAAAAAAAATAAGAAAAAAAATTCTTCCATTTTTTCCGGTTGGTGAATTGTCATTATGTACAAGAATTGTCGTTGGGTGAGTTGTCCCGTAATACACTCGAGACGAGCTATCTCCAGAATTATACAAAATCGATCATTCCTTCGGGATGGAATTCTACACGCGAGGGTTGGTTCACAAGTTTTGATACTTTTTGAAATAGATCCAATTGAGTTTCTAAAATTCAAGAACTTTTTTCTACTTGTATCGCCCCATCATTTGGCAACATCTCATTGCACTTCATCATACTCTCCGCCGATTCCAATGCCTTTTTCTTTTACAGGCGATAAATCCAACCATCAGAACAGTCGCCAAAAATCGAGTTTTGTTAGTTTATCAAGCATCCTCCGACTTCCGGCTTTTCCCGACAGTGAAAAACGACCTCTGAAACGGATTAATTTTGAGGACAGGGACAGTTTCATTTCCCCCATCCAAGAACAGCCGCTCAAGTATAAAGAAACTCCATTTTTGGCACTGTTCTGTTCGCTGGATTTATTGCAATGAAAATTGCATTGAAATTGGCGGAGAATAAGCTGAGCAGCACTGATGTGTTGCCAAATGATGGGGTAAAAAAAAATTGTTTTTGCTGTTTCAAAACTCCATTGGTGTTTGAAAAAACTTTGGCATGCCAACAATTTGGCACCAGACAAGTAATTCTTCTCCTTTAATCTGTAAGAAAAAATTTTGCAGCTTCTGCTGGAGCCTGTGAACCAAACCCAAGTTTGGTTCCCAGGCCCAGCTCAAACCTCTTCTGATTGAAGCAATAGCATTCAAGTTACAAACCTGAGCTGATCTCCATGTAGAGAAGCTTTTTTTTGCGTGTCATTTAAAATCTTGAACAGTGAAATCACTGTCACAAATTTTTGTGAGTTCCCCCTTAAAAGAGTCAAGCGTAGCAAATTTAATATCTTGTTTTGAGCTAACAGCAAGTCATTTGTCGCGTCAAACTTTTCAAGAAAACTAATCCTCAAAGAGAGATGCCAAAAGGGCGATTTAAAAGAGCAAACCCATAAAGGGAGACAAGTTTTGGCAATTGTCAAAACTTGTCCTTGTTTGTTTCTAC